GCTCATTTCCGTCCAGCCTTCTCCTTTCTTGCGTCCTCTACCCTAAAGACAGTCTTGGTACTGAGCATTATGGTCGACTTGGGGTTATTCCCTACCCCTGCCTTTAATACTGGCCTTGACTAAACACACGCGACCTATACCCGAGGACCTATCTCTAGCTGTTGCTCTTTTCCTCTTCCTCGTCCACCCCTCTACTACTTAGTACCTCGACCTGGCGGCTCATCCTCGTACCTCCCGACGTAACGTTTCACCCGCCAGTGCGTGCGGCATCGATGGCCAGCTGCCAGGCGTGGGCCTCCCATGACGCCGCCGGTCAAGAACTTGAATTTCCCCGCCTACTCTTAAAGAAACCATCAGTGTGTCTACATCATCTACCCTGACGCCCGGTACTCGCCGCGCCGAGTTTACGTCGCTCTAATTACAAGGCTACTCACGAGACGGGTTGTACGCTAACCTCGCTACCTTCTCTCTGTCGCCCCGCTTCACAAAACTGATGAAGTATGAGGGGTTGGTCACATGGCCTGACATCTCGCTCAACAAGAGTCTCGCGAGATGTCAGTCCATTGTGACGTAAGTGGGAATAATTATATATTTCCACTCTCGCCAAGGTGATCGATTAAGGATTGGGTGGAAAAGACCTCGGCTACGCTACCGTGATCGGGTGCCTTAACCCCTGTCATAGGCTCACTCTTAAACCTCTTCCTCATTATCCCCCAATCCTTATCCTTCCCATTCCTTACCCTCTCCTCTCCCATTCCTTACTCTATTGTGTCACGTAAGGCAAAGACACTCAGCAGGCCAAGACACGTAGACACACCATGAGAGGGTAGTCTTCTTTTCTTTTATTCAATCTCGATTTAAAATCTGTGGAACTCGCCCGCCTGGGGCACAATTAATGAGTCCCCGAAGCCCGAACTGTAGTCACTGAGCCCTCGCTCGCAACAAGCTTGCCAGCAGTTCTTGTACTACTGGCCGTGGTCCGTAAAAGGAGCGGGACCCATTCCAGACCCATTTACCCACTGGATAGCCGACACCTTCTCTTCCCAGAGCCTCAGTGGATGAAGGGCTACTTGCGCCTACGTTCCAAAACTGGGATGATGACGGTATACGTGATGCTGGTATCCTGCATACAAACATGTTTCTAAAGCACTTCAATCTTACCTCATCCTCAAGTGTACCCCAAACTCTCGGGTACGGGTACATCTCCTTCGGTTTCTCTAATCTAAAACGGTAACCCTTCCGTTTACTCAAATATGTCGGCTACCTTAAGTAAATTTAGGTCTGGAGGGGCCCTCGCTCGCTTCCCGGGCCACCAGCCGAAGCTATATGGTGGCGGCAAACCTATTGGGGAAAGCACGCACGGTCCACGAGTTAGGGCTTAGCCAGCCATAAAATGCCAAAACTAGGTAGCTATCTCAAATACATACAACCGAAAAATTGTACTACTCAAAGCGCCTTCCTATGCGTTTACGATACCTGTACGCATCTCCATACGACGTACAAAGAAAAATGACCCATTGCAAGGCCAAACCAAAAGGTCCATGGCTAAAGGAAGACGACCGAAAACTGTCCCACCGTCTCCCCTTCTGCTATAGATA